CCGGCTGCCAGCCCCTCCGCTGTCACCGGCGCTCTTTCGGTCGTTTAAACGAGCTGGAAGTACCTTCAGTGAAGACAGCTTAGTCTTTCGCACGCCCGTTTGGAAAGCAGTGAAGTGTGCTCATCGGGTCGTAACGAGGAGTAGAAAAAACATTCCTCGTGACTCGGTTGTCTAATTCCCGCTTTGCTAGTTGCCGGTTACTAGCAGCATTGAACAGCTACCATACGAGATAACGTGCAAACACAGCGAAACTGGCACTCGCTGGATGAGGACAGCGTAGAGGGGCTCTTGCTTGGCTAACGGAATCGGATTAGTAGTATCGGTCCTCTTCCTGAGGCTGAAAGTTCCATGCAATTTTCAGTAGTTCCATTTTGTATCTCTCTTTTTACTGCTCCAAGAGACCACCTGTATTAAACAGAATAAGTCCCTTCCAGTGAAATATTAAATAAGTGAAGGCATAAATTTTTTCCGTATTTTCCCCTCCCTTGCACGTTTGTTGAGGAAAAAAGATCTTTGCTACTAATTAATCTGTTCTTAAAATGGTGTCTCTTCTTCATTTTTTTTGCAGCGTGGAAGGTCTTCATGCTATTGTAGTCTCAGACAGAGATGGTGTGCCTGTTATCAAAGGTAACTTCAGCTTCTCACCATGCCCTGCAACTGAAATCCCGATTGAACAGCAGGGGGTGGAAAAGTACAGCAGAATCTTCTCTGGTTATGCCTGATACCTGAGTATCCAAAACTGAAGAATTAAATTAGACTTTTACTTCAAGTTCCATAATTGGTTATGTACCTCTTTAAGTTTATCCTTTTGTACATGTGTATGCAATGTCCTCAATAACTGTAGGCCACAGACGTTTTCCTCAGCGAATAGGGTTGGAGTGGTATAAGATGCTTGTATCTTCAAGTCACTCACAGGCGGATGCAAAGGACTAGAGAGAGCTTATTGGTATTTTGTTGACTTGGCTGGTCTGTGCTCAGAAGCAATTGCATCCAACTTTTACATGCTTTATTTAATTTTGCTTGCTTTTTGGTACTGTAATTTTTATCATCTCTCTGCAGTCTTTATTTAAGATGTTTTTATATTGTGGGTAAACTAGTTTAAGGGTACTGAAGAGTACTGATTCAGGTACTGCAGATTTTTTTTTTTTAATGTCCCAAAGTATTTAATGACCTAGCAAACTTGCACGTCTTCACCTCTTTTCATTCAAGTGACTCTTTACCAGTAATCAATTCAAAGGCTGGAATCAGTGCAAACAGCGAGGGACACAGAACCAAAGTGACATCAGTACAGGCTGATGCATTGTAAAGGAAAAGACTGTGTCTTAGGCGTGCTAGGGAGGATGCTGGTATAATGAGCATTGATCATGTACAGAATATTAAATGAGGTACTGCTCATGAAGATTGTCCTGTACTCATTGCAGAAGCATGTAAGATGTGTTACGTGTTCCCCAAAACCGCATCCGCTTTTGGCAGAGCACTAAGCCGAATAAGGAGTTGTGATGCAGTCATAGATACCATGTAAAAATAAGAATTTTCTTGTTGTGTTCCAGTTGCCAATGATAATGCTCCAGAACATGCACTGCGACCTGGCTTTCTGTCCACCTTTGCCCTTGCCACAGATCAGGGCAGTAAACTAGGACTTTCTAAAAACAAAAGTATCATCTGCTATTACAATACGTACCAGGTGAGTAACCTCAGTGTGGCCTGTTCTCAGTGACCAGAGCTGTTCCTTGAGCAAGGGAGAGGTGGTTTAAACTCTGCTAGATTTCCACTTGGCTGCTATTGAAGTATTTGTGTTTTGTTTCTTATGCTGCATAATGGCTAAGCTAAACTTTTGCACTATTTGTTAAGCTTCTCTTATATTTCTCAAAACTGAGGTTGAAAATGTTGAATTTTTCTGAACAGGTAGTAATCAGGAATTTGCAGCCGGTGCTGCTCCTATAGCCTTCAGAATCTGTTAAGAGGGGTTTATGTTCTCCTTTACAAACAATATGTGTTTATAATTAGTGACACCTAAAGTTAAATAAGCACATGCAGCTTACTTCATAGCTGATCTTGCAGCCAGTACAACTTTGAGATAAGAAGGCTTTGAAATACCACTCACATTTTTTACACACTGGTGATTTGTGTCCTGAAATCCATCATCATCTAAGTTTCTGCTGCTTCTCAAGTTCTAGTGGTCCTGAGAGCTTTGGCCAACTGTTTCGCCTACAGTATCTAGCTTTGTTTGGAACATAAATGGGTGAATGAGTTAGTTGACATACATTGAGTACATTGCTTTGATTCTCTTGATGCTAGTAGCTTATTGTTGTGCTCAAGATTGCAGTTCCCTAGTAATGAAAGAGGAGATACTGCTATACACTGAATAGTATTTTAAAACAATAAACCTGCCTGCCCTTTTGTTACCTGTGGAGAGTGTGGTCTCCATTGTGTACTCTGCAATGGAGTTACATTTCAGGTGGGTAACACTGCAGAACACAGGAGGGAGGGGAACGCCAGGCTTTCCACGTGCAGCTTCCTGTACTGTGGTGTAAGTCCTGTTGCTGTTTTTAACTGCGAATCTTATGAAATAGATACACTGAAAAGTCAGCTTTGTAGCTCTTGCTCCTGCTTGTCCTTTAAACTGAGGAGGCCGCTTGTTTCCGAAAGCGTTTACATGGCAGAGCTCTGACATCCAACACATGTTAGCTGCTGGCTGAACGCTGTTCTCTCTCCTTGCAGGTGGTGCAGTTCAATCGCTTACCTTTGGTAGTAAGTTTCATTGCTAGCAGCAATGCCAATACTGGTATGTCTTCACGTGTATTTTAAATGTTGCAGTATTTTAAGGCCCAGGTGTTTAAATAATTGAAAATAAATTACCCAAATTTACTTCAAGGTATATTAACTTTGCTCCTGCGATGGATTTTGCCAGTGTATTGTGAAGGGGAGAAGGGAAAGGTGTGAGTAAAAATTCATAGATTTTTAGGTGACTTGCTGAAGTTGTTATTCTGTCAGAAACATATTTCTCCTGTGATTAACCTTACCCTTGCTACGTGAGAGTGTTCACTGCACCGGCAGTGATTGTACCGTGCAAACCAGTTTTTTGGTCTCTTTCTGACAGTTCCAAGTTACATTCTGCAGAGACACATGCGGCTTTGTCTTCTCAGTTCTGTGGGGTGGGGAAATCCTTCAGCGAGGCACCTGGCCTTGCTCATGAGGGCGTTGGCTAATGAGAGTGTGAGCAAACGGGATTTAATTCTTGCACAGCTCTTGGGCCTCGGTAGCTGTGGGAAGCAGCAAGGCGATAGCGGAGGCAGGCAGCAGCACGGGGGAGAGCTGCGCTGCGTGGGTTGTGCCCCTGTTGGTGCCGGGGGCTGTGGGCACCCTGCCTGGGGGTGCTGCCTGCTGTTCCCATAGAGAGTGAGCAGCTCAAGTGAAATGTCTGGTGTTTTGGAAAACACTACCTGGGAGGGGAGGGAGCTGCGGGGACTGGAGAGAGGCTTCTCAGTTATGTTGTCTGATGGGATGTTCTGTCTCTTCTCTCTTTCCAGGGCTGATTGTAAGTTTAGAGAAGGAGCTCACGCCCCTGTTTGAAGAACTGAGGCAGGTTGTTGAAGTTTCTTAACCTGATGGTATAGCCGGAGTGCAGCATCCCTCTGCAGCCCAGTGGACAGAAAGATTCAATAATCCTCAGTCAAATAACACGTCTTGGAAGAAATACCACAGCTCCTTAGTATACTAAGAGTACATTGTACATAGTACTGAATCTGAAATGATCTACTAGTGTGTTGTAGGTGGATGTTACTTTAGGCCATGCTTCTTGTATTGTGCAGTACTGGAGAGACCACCGAAATAGCTCCCATGGAGTTTAGCTCAGCCAGCTGAGCCAGATCGGCACAATGCTGTTGGCTCAAATGAGCAACCCACAGATCTCTTGCTTTACAGGGAATCAGGCACGTGGTGGGGTTTATCCTCAGGCCAGCTACCACCACGTGTTGGAAAGCAGATAAGTTGTATAGTGTTATCAAAGATGTGGTTGAAAGAGTATTGTGAGAGCAAGTTTACTAGCAGTGATGTGTTGGTACAATCAATAGATATCCCAGCTTTCTTATGTGGGTGATACTTTGGCAAAGGAATGCTACTAATCTGGATGCTAGCTGCGTCCTGCTTCCACCAAGAAGAAAGCTATTTCTATGAAAGCTGTTGCTTCAGGGGTTTTCCTGATGCCCCAATAAAAGCACCCAAACAATGTCTCACTTCTTCGTGGGGTTTTTGTGTAATATGGTTGTGAAGATTCATGTCTCATAGTCTTTGTGTGGGTTCATCACTGGTGACACTCTCAGCTCATTTACCCTTAGGTTTTCTGAAGTAAATAAATATAAATAAAATACAGTATTTTTAAATGACAGAGCCTTGTCCACTCTTCTGTTGCACCCTAATACTCTACAGCACATCAGCTTTTCTGTGGAAAGAACAGGTCTCTCAACTGTTTGTAAACGTATAAAACCCAGGCGTTCACAGGCAGAAAACTAACCAGTGTGTCTCTCGATTGGGCAATACAGATACTGAGTCCTGTGTCAATGCAGAGATGTAGAGGTTAGTGCCGACTGGCTTCCTGTCGCTGGGGATCGATCCTGTGCTCTTTGCCCTGCCTCGTTCCCTCCCACATTCCTCTTGTGATGACTCCAGCGTAGACTTCCAGCGCTAAAGCCAAGCGCTGCTGGTCTAAGGGAGAGCTCTTGGCAGGTCTCAGGCTGCCCCCTCGCTTACACCTTGCCCACCTTTAGCATCAGGCAGGATGGGGGGAAATGGTCATGCTGAAAATAAGGACTGGGAATTCTTGGCTCAAAAGCTCTCTCAGAAATTAAAATTTGTCAGTCAACCCTTTTCCATTTAAACTGATCTCCTGGCTTGAGCTTTCTGTTCAGCGCTGGTCGTTACAGAAGCAGCTGGAAACTGAGCCCCAAGGCATCTCTGTGTATTTCTGGCAAAAAGCATTCGTGTTCCATCTGAGGCCTACTCCTGTTGTTAGCGCATGTTCAACTCGTCTGTGACTCTGCTTCCCAGGCCAGCCGAGCGCTGTTCCTTTTGCTGGCTTCAGTTCGTGACACCACATGCTGAACTCGCTTCTAACACTTTGTAGCACGGCTTGTTCATGTGAAAAAGGGAAGGCTGCTTTTGTGGTTACACTTCAAGCTCCATTTCCAAGCAGTGGTGCTGTTGGAGAGTATTGGCACTCTCGTCCCCTTACGCTGCCACTATCTCACACAAACTCATCAAAGCTTTTTAACTAAATGGGAGATGCCAGTTTGTTAAACCACTTCTTTAAGGGAGAAAGAAGGGCAAAGCTTTAACAATATAGTACAGGAATACAGAAGACCTTTGGTAGTTTTACAATGCCATTTTATTCAGAAAACAGTCTGTATAAAAATATTTACAAATATTTTGAATTTCTAAGTTGAAATAAAATGCTATCCCTATGTCCAAACCTGGATTTTCTTTTTTTTTCTTCCAGTATGTTTTTCCCCTCCTCCTCTTCAGCCTTCTCACAGTAAAGGCATCTATTGAACACTGACGTGCTGTGTGAGCAGTACTGAGCCCTGTGCCACAGCGTTTGCATAGTGGGAGAGGTTTGCATACAACGTTGCAGCAAAAACTTGACCGTTACGCAGGGAGATGGGGGCTCCCTGCTTTCCGCACCCCTCCGGGAGGAGCAGGATTGCTCAGGGGGTCTGGCAGCGGAGTCAGCCATGAACTCAGGCCAAGCCGGTCTTGGGACCCTCCAGTGTGCCAAGCGTTGCTTCCAAAATGTAACATCTAATCTGACTACAGCATCGAAGTACTGGGCTTCCACTTCTCAACTCTCTAGCGAGCCACAATGCTGTTACACACATACGAGTCTTCCAAAATATAGATGGAAATTTACATTGGGTTATGTAGACGATGTATTCTGTTAAATTAATGTTTTTAGTGTACATGGGGCTTTTCTGTTACTGGTCTTGTTTAATATAAAGCAAGCAGTGCTTAATTCTAGAACATAGTTCTGGACAAAACCTCATTTTGAGTTCTCCGCATGAGGAAAAAGTACAGAATCCAGCCCATTTTCAAGGGGGAGTGTAAGGGGCCCAACTCGTAATGCTACTAACAACGCTGGTAGCTGCCACAGGCAAAGGCTTCTGCAGAGCCTGTCACCCATCCTTAGAGTCCCGTGGCAGCTCTGTCATACGTGTGCTGGGAACCAGCTGCCTGTTTCTCAGGTTTGTAAACAACAGTGCTCGCATGACGCTGCTCACCGTTACCTATAGATGTCGTTTGAAACAAACCTTCACTTGTAGCCGTCACTGCAGTATAAATCTAAACCATACAAAAACATATCTGACCAGAACTAAGTGTTACTCATCCATCACCTTGAAAAGGGCCGTGAAATATTCTCTGGATTGTAATATAGATACTATTTACAAGCATGTAATTATCTCTGTCATTTTTCTTTTGGTTTAGAGCCTAAACAGTTAATGCAAAAGAAATTTAACGTTTCCAGAAAGGACTGGTTTTAAGTAACAGGCTCAAGGTTACAGAATATGCTGCTAATGGTTAGTTGTGATGGAGCTTGCAATAAATTATCAAGAGTGCTCTGAATAACCACAGAAGTTTCAAACAGTGACTACTTCTGTGATTAGTTAACAGGTGTTTGAATTAAGTGTGCACTACAGACATACACCATGCATATCAAACCAACACTCTGATTTTGCAACCGTCTCCACACGTGACCCAGCAGCCCGAGAGCGCTCAGCTGTACGAATCCTTTGTGGGCAGAGCTGGATGCAAGCGTCTATGTGCAGGTATACGCACACATGCTGCCCACTGTGAGTAATGGAGACATGTGAAACCGTCCTCTTGTAAGCAATGCCTTCCCCTTGGCAAAGAGGCAATTCCTGCCAATGGAGCAGAAGTATTGGAGGTGCAGCTAGGAACTGAGGGTGGCATTACGCTGCTCCAGTTGCTTCCGTATTTGTGACTAGAACAGAAAGATGATCCATTACTATTTGTCTGCATCCATGTCAATGTGGGTGAGTATGACCAACCCAAATACTGATATTTTTAAGGAAGTAATGCTTTCATGCCTTTACATTGTCTTCTCATTGCTTCCTTCATGATCCAACACATGCAGTCTGTGCTGATGCTCTATCTTGTTTACGGTTTATACAATGACATCCTTAAAGATGGAACTAATTTCGTCTTCCTGATGACTATGCGTTAAAAATGCATCCCGAAAATGCTAAAGTGGGTTTGCAGGCATATACATTATGCAAAAACTACATATTGCATTCTAGTTGGCCTGGAAGCCAGAACAAGTACTCCCTTCTTGCAGATACTGAGAACTGCAGCACTTGCGTGCTACAATATCGGGGGGTTTATGACGGCAGTACCAAGGGTACTGCTGCCTGAGGCGTACTGCCATGTAACACTGCACGTCATCTTACCAGTTTCCATCGCAGTATTTTAATCCACTCGTCGGCTTCTATTCCAGTTTTCGCGCACAGGTAATATGTCCTTAGTGGGAACACTAAACTGTAAGTAAACAATTAAAACTATTTCTTAAATTGCTAGAACAACTGGTAGTCCTTCCTAAAACTGAACCCAACTGGCCTGAACCAACAGTTGTTTAGATAGAGCAGGGCAGGGAGGCCGTGCTCCCGTTCAGTCACCAGGAGGGAGGTTAGCCAAGAACGGTTTACAGTCGTTTGCAGCTCGGAGAGACACTGCCCCAGGCCCGTAAGGACGAAGGGTACAGAAGCGGTTACTGTGTGACCTGTAGCAATGTCTGAAGTAGGAACTGGACCGTACCTAAGTTCCATGGGTCTAGGGGACGATTACACATGTTTAGCGAATTAGGAAAAGAAATGCCCAATACACACAGGCCTACACCCTTCCTCCTCACCAAGAAAAAAACCTCTTGCCAGCAGTAATTTGACACCACCATGCAGGACTGACAGAGGTTGTTTGACAGAGACTCGTGAGTTAGAGGAAGAGCAGGGTTGCAACTGGCAAGGGAGCTTTCAGAAGCACCCAGTGATTACATCTCAAACTTCCCTGGCTATTTTGACCTTTCCAGCAAGGTGGAGAAAGTACAGCAACTTACCAGAAACAATTGACTCTTTCCTGAGAATAGTCAAATTGCACAGCTGAGCATTCAGTTAAGTCAAGTGCCCGAATCGGTTCTGTGGCCTTGAAAATAAAATAGTTTTAAAATGGGAATACATGAAAACAGAAGATAAGCTCAGTGCATCTTCAGTGCATCTAAACCTTTACAGGCACACGAGGTTTTTCCAGGCATAGCTGTAACACCATAAACCCAAATTAGCAAACATAACATCAGTGCTAACATGATATGAATTGAGCTAAATATAAAAACCCAGGACAGTCAGTTCAGATCTAGACAAACAACAGAGGAGATCTCTACTGCAGGAAAGTTTGAGCTAGATGCAGACTGCTGAGGGTTTTGTTGATGTATTACAATTTAACTGACACAGCAGCAAATCTGGTATCAGTTCCAGCTAAGGTTTACAGAGACAAGGGGATGGTTATAGGTCTTATCAGGCCTAGTCAGCTGTTGGAGATTTAATTAATTCATAAATGCCTTAAAAGGGTGAAGCTGGGTAGGGAGAAATGCAGAAGCAAAGCTAAAGTAGTGCTTGCAGCAGAAGTGACAAGTCTGGCTGTGTGAGCAGTGTGTGTATATATCTAAGTTTCTTGGGACAGGCCCAGGAGTGCTCAGGTGCAGGAATGTAGACTGTGTATAACTGCAACTCATCTCCTTTAAGAGTTTCACTCTTCCTAGGTGTGAGAGTTCTTCTTTGATTTGTTTCAGCCTCGCACTGTTGAGCTGCTCAGAAGAGGCAGCTGAAGTAGAAGAACAGCTTGCTCTCTGCCCAAAGGCCCTTAGCTGTTCCCATGGTCCTTCATGAGGTGTATGGAGGTGTCTGTTGCTTTCTCACCTTTCCTTACATTTTCCTCTGGCTCAGTGGCTGTTAGTTATATACTACACTAGAAGAAAGCCACTTGTGCTGAGGTGTGCTAGCGAATGCCATCTCAGGGCCAGCAGCAAGTTGCTCACCTATAGGTATCTGCAACCCCACAGCAACAATGGGAGTGCCGGGAGACACCGGAGCTGCTGCCTGGGAAGAGGCCATATTCCTGACAAAGACACTTTCTCGCCTGGTAAGTCACAAATGCTACTCAAATGTTTGGAGTGCTGCCCTTTGAAACGTTATCCTGGAAACTTAATGCAAGTTGGCTTGAACTGAAATGAAAACTGATGGAAGGCCCCATAAATACATAACTGTTTATAAATGGAAGAGAGGGCAGTTGTGTCTGCTGTTCTGTTAAAATCTGCTAGATGCCTGAAATAG